GGGTGGGGTTGGATCTCCGAGGGAGGGGCTGCTGCCTCTCTCAGAGCCCTGGGAAGGAGCAATGTGGCCACCTCCTGAGTGGCTGCACTCAGCCAAAGCTCTGAGCGCCCTCCAAACACCGAGTGTCCCGACACAGTTCCAGTCCAGTCTGCCCTCCCTCTGCCGGAGCCCAAGGTGAGTGGCTGTGGCTGTTTCAGCCTCTGTCCGGCTCTGCGCTGTGGAGCCGCCTGGGAGTGTAACCCGAGGGCGCTGCTCCCAGCTAAGGCCGCTGCCGAGCTGCCGACCGTGGGCTCCCAGCCCCATCTCGCGCCTTCGCAAGCCTACCGGGATGGAGTCAGTGTCCCTCGTTGTCTGGTCCTCGCAAGCAGCTATTCTGTTGGTTTTTCCCGTCGATTTGTCTGTGTTATAGTTGTAATTCCAGTTTGGTTCTGGGAGACGGTCTGTGTAGCTCCGTTCACTCTGCCGCCATTTTTCGGTCCCATGGAGAATGGGTATTAGTTCTTTGAATGTTCAGCAAAATTCCCCCATGAAGCCGTTTGGGCCTGGGCTTTTGTTTGCTGGGAGAGTCTTTATTACATCTTCATTTCTTTTGTTGTTATTGGTCAGTTCAAGTTTTCTATCTCTTCCCGGTTCAGTTTTCGGAGACTATGTGTTTCTAGAAATTTGTTGATTTCACTTAGATTGTTGAATTTGTTGCCGTTTAATTGTTCATAATATTTGTTAACGATCCTTTGTATTTCTGTGGTGTCAGTTATTATTTCTCCTCTTTCATTTTTGATTTTGTGTATTTGGGTTCTCTCCCTTTGTTTCTTGGTGAGTCTAGTTAAGGGTCCATCAATCTTATTTATCTTTTCAAAGAACCAGCTCTTCATTTCATTGATCCTTTGAATTGTTCTTTGTGGTCTCTATGTCATTTATTTCTGCTCTGATCTTTATATTTCCTTCCTTCCACTTGCTCTGGGGTTTTCTTTCTGTTTGCTTTCTAGTTCTTTATGTTGTGAGGTTAGATAGTCAATTAGAAAATTTTTTTGCTTCTTGAGGTAGGCCTGTAGTGCTATGAGCTTCCTTCTCAGAACTGCTTTCGCTGCATTCCATAGATTTTGTGTTGTTGTGTGTTCATTTTCATTGGTTTCTAGGAAGTTTTTGATTTCTTCCTTGATCTCCATGGTAACCCATTCATTGTTCAATAACATGCTATTTCGCCTCCATGTGTTCAAATGTCTTTGCGTGTTCTTGTTGCAATTGATTTCTAGTTGCATGCCATTGTGATCTGAGAAGATGCTTGATATGATTTCTTGAACTTGTAGAGACTTAGTTTGTGCCCTAACATGTGGTCTGTCTTTGAGAATGTCCCATGTGCACTTGAGAAGAAGGTGAATTCTGTAGTTTTGGGGTGTAATTCTCTGTAGATACCTATTAAATCCATTTGATCTAGTGCTTCATTTAGAGACTGCGTTTCCTTGTTAATTTTTTGTCTAGAAGATCTATCCAGTGATGTCAGCAGGGTATTGAATTCCTCTGCTATGATTGTATAACTTGATTTCTCCTTTGAAGTCCTCCAAAAGATTTTTAATATATGTTGGTGCTCCTATATTGGGTGCATATATCTTTACCAAGGTATATCTTCCTGTTGGATAGATCTACATCATTTCAATATTAGGTAATGTCTTTCTTTGTCTTTAGTTATGGCCTTCATTTTGAAATCTACTTTATCAGATATCAGTATTGTACCCCAACTTTTTTTTCCTTTCCATTTGCTTGAAAGATTTTTTTCCATCCCTTCACTTTCAACCTATGTGAGTCATTTGTTGTGAGGTAGGTCTCTTGTAAACAACATATATGTGAGTCATGCTTTCTTATCCAGTCAGCTACTGTGTGTCTTTTTATCAGAGCATTCAGACCATTCACATTTAAGGTGATAATTGATACGTACTTATTTATTGCCGTTTTTGTTTAGTGTGGTTCTATTTTTCTTCCTATTTCTTCTACTAATTACAGCAGTCCTTTTAGCATATCTTGCAGTGCTGGTTTGGTGTTGATATATTCCCTTAGTCTTTGTTTGTCTGGGAAGCTCTTTATTTGACCTTCTATTTTGAATGATAGCCTTGCTGGATAGAGTAGTCTTGGGTTCAGATCCTTGTTTTTCATGACCTTGATTACTTCATGCCACTTCCTTCTGGCCTGTAGTGTTTCTGTTGAGAAGTCAGCTGAGAGCCTTATGGGGTTTTCCTTGTAGGTAACCTGTTGCTTATCTCTTGCTGCCTTTAGCATTCTCTCTTTGTCTTTAATTTTTGGCATTTTAATTACTATGTGTCTTTGTGTGGGCCTTTTGGGGTTCTTCTTACTTGGGGCACTCTGTGCTTCTTGAACTTGAATGCCTTCTTCCTTCACCAAGTTAGGAGAGTTTTGTGTCACTATTTCTTCACATATATTCTCTAACCTTTGCCCATTTTATTCCTCTTCGGGGACTCCTATTATGTGAATGTTATTATGTTTTAAGTTGTTCCTTAGTTCTCTTAAGCTGTCTTCCTGCTTTTTAATAATTTTTCCTTTTGGTTTTCGCATTGGTTGATTTTTTTTCTACCCTGTCTCCTAATTTACTGATCCGGTCCTCAGCTTCCTCTACTCTGCTGGTCAGTCCTTCCAATGTGTTCTTAATTTCCACTATGTCATTCTTCATTTCCACTTGGTTGGTTTTCAGTGTTTCTATATCTTTACTCATGGTGCTGATGTCCTTACTCATGCTGTTGTGCTTTCTCAAGATCATGGCTATGAACTCTACTTAGCTACATTTACTTAGCTGTATTTCATTTATGTCATCTTCGATAGAGTTCTCTTGTTCTTTCATTTGGGATTTGTTTCTTTGTTTCACCATTTTGGCTATCTCAATGTGTTTTGGAGCCTGCTAAATTTTCCCTGTGGGTGTTGGTGTTCTGCTGTTTGTGGCTCCCTTTTCTGGGTTTGGATGAGCCTGGACGGGCCCATGTTAAACACCACTGTCAAGTCTTACTTTCCTGGGTAGATTTGCAAGCCCAGGAAAGGTTCAGTTATCCTCTAGCTTTTACCTGGTGGCTAGTAGTCTTAGTTACTCAGTGCCTTGGAATGTAGCTCTGGTGTTCTGAATAAGAGGATTTCCAGAGGGTGGGATAGATGCTGGTTGTCAATGAGCCTCAATTTGCATTTCTTTACCTCATCTGGGAAAGGCTGAATCTGGAGGGGGTGGCATGCAGGGTTGCTACTTTTCCCCACAGCTCTGGGAAGGAGCACACTGGCCACAATCCTTTGTGGCCGCAACTCAGCAAAAACTCTGAGTGCCCTCCAAATCCCGGGTGTCCCCACAGAGTTCCAGCTCAGTCTGCCCTCCCTCTGCCATAGCCTCCAGGTGAGTGGCTGTGGCTATTTTAGCGCTCTGTCTTGGCTCTCTGTGCTGTGGAGTGGGCTTGTTCTTTATTCCCCAAGGGCGCTGCTCACAGCTATGACTGCTGCTGTTTGTGGGACCCAGCCGGCTACTGTCTCGCACCTCTGCAGATCCTACCAGTGTCCCTGGTTATATGGTCTTGCCCTCTGCTTTGCTGTTGCTTATTTCTGAGGATTTGTCTTTATTTTAGTTGTAATTCCCATTTGGTCCTGGGAGATTGTCTACGTAGCTTCTATTCACTCTGCCTCCATTTTCACATCCTCTATGCCTATCTTGTGTGCAGCTGGGTATCACAGGCCTTTCTGGTGCCCCCACACCCTGTAGGTCCCGCTTGTAATTGGATCACACAGTCCCTTTGGGGACCTGGCTCTATGCCTATCTTATGGGCTGCTGGGTCGCACCGGCCTCTCTTGTGCTTCAATACCCCGCATGTGCTGTGGGTAACTAGACTGCACAGTCCCTGCTGGGTCGCATAGGCCTCTCTGGTGCTTCAGCACCCCACAGGTCCCTCAGGTAACTAGATCACGCAGTCCCTGCTGGGTCACACAAGCCCCTCTGGTGCTTCAGCACCCTTCATGTCCTGCGGGTAACTGGATCGCACAGTCCCTGCTGGGTTGCACAGGCCTCTCTGGTGCCCCCGCACCCTGCAGTTCCCATGGGTGGACAGCTGGATTGTACCTGTCTCTCTAGGGCTCTAGCTTCCCACTGCCCTTGTGAATTGCTGGACCGCTCAGGCCTCTGTGGAGCCCCAGGTCCAGCCAATGGTGTCTGGGAAGTGCTGATGCTCTGTAGGGTTCAACTCCTACTCAGCTTTTGCTGTAGTTTTGGGGGATGAGTCTCAGCTGCTGGTCTGTGCTTCTGTTGCCTGGGGATGAATGTCTGCTCCCCAGCCTCTGTTGCTGGGGTATATCTGGACTCTGATCAGGCTGCTACTATGGGGGTGGTGCTGGGCTCCCGGCTGTCTGCAGCTTCCACAACCAGCACCTTGGGTGCTCCAATACTGTGCACCTGTCTGTGTTGACACAGAGTGTCCACTGGTCCAATGGTGCCGGGTGTGCTGGTGGGCTCAGGTTGCTGGGCCCTCGCCACTCCCACTGCCTCCTCCCAGGGAAGACTGAGGATCTTCCAAAATAGTGGGACCCCCCCCCCCAAGGCACAGGGAAAAGTGCCCTGAAGTGCCGCTTACCGCGGTAGCTGGCTGCTCCCGTCCATGGCACAGGAATCTTCTGCTCCGCGGCTCTGCACTGCACGAGTTTGGTCGTCCACCTTCACATCCACTCACACTCTCTCACACACTTGCTCACTCTCTCACACACTCACCCTCCCTCAGTTTCTGCCCTTCGCCATCTTTCCATTGCCACTTCCTCATCTCTTATTGCTTGGTCAGAAATTTTAGAGCCGTGATAAATAATAATAATAATAATAATAATAATAATAATAATAATGGGTATCCTTGTTTAAGACTGAAATCTAATCAAAGAGCAATTAGATTACTATGTATATTGTCTGAAATAATTTCTTGTTTGTAAAATAAATCCAAAAAATGAATATAAATATGACTTTCTGTATGTTTTATTTTCAGCACAGAAAAGCATTTTATAAGGACTCCAGTTGTAGCAAAGCAGATGTACTTCCCTCTTCAGAATTATCCAGTGAACAACATGGTAACAGGTAATTTAAAATAAAATTTAGAGTAAACTCAAGTAGGGAAGAAACAAGGGAATATTTTGTACAATAAAGCTATTATACTAGCCTAGCAAGTACAACCCTCACTATTATACATGCTTATAGAGTAGACATGATTCGCACATTAAGCAAATTAATTTGTAGAATTGACCCAAAGATAGACCCATATTTTCTGTTAAAACTAGTCTATAGATAGGGTGAGGACACGTTCCAGTTTACACAAGACAATTCTCTTTTATGCCTGTTGTCTTGGTATTAGTTTTTACTCATGTGTCCCAGTTCGGAAGATAAATTATACGGACAACTTTAATCATAAGTATATCAGAATCTAATAAAATATAGGTCTCTTCTCCTAATACACACACACAGACACACACACACACACATACACACACACACCTCACCACCAACAACAACTTTACCTATAATTTAAAAATGCTCACATATACGCAGAAGCCCATTCCGGATCACCCAGGTGTCCATGGACTCCATATTTGGATTTTCTAGTACCAACAGAAAAAATAGCTAACTGAAGTTGACATTGAGAGGATGGAACCAAGAGAACCAGTTGAATAGTGGCCACTGGGATTTGGATAGTGTTAAATGAGGTGGATATTTGGATATTTGATCTGGCTGGTATTCAGGAGGGCCATGGATAATTTTTAAAATAGAGTTTAAAATTTTGTTTTTAAATCAGCAATTTAAAAGCATAGGTTTTTGAAATTTTATTTAAAAAGACATTGTATATTTATCTTTTTCTCTTCATTTAGCAGTGTCAAAACTACCTCTACAATAATCTTCAAAATGCTACAATTATCCATTTCTGATACATAAATGTCCTATCTTTATACTTACAGGAATAATTTTATTACTGTAGTTATTATTATTACTATAGTAACTATTTTTTAAATTCCTATACTCATACATATATTTAGAAACTTCACAAAGTGTATATGTGCAATTAACTAGACATTAATATTTTCTGCACTAGTTTATTTTACACAGAAACATAGCCATTAGACAAATACCATGAACCACAGGATAATAGGTAATATCACTAATATAGTAATAGTGCTCCGAGAGATTTTTCTGAGGTAAATTACTATAATTAAAATATCTTTTAAAATGCTAATCAATTTTATATGATTGAATTCATAATTAATTTATTAATTGTGAATTTATTATCTGTTATGAGAAACAATCTAACTATATGCGTAAATAACCTGTTGATAGTGGTGGTGTTCTAAATTCATTCATCCTTGAGCACTACCAGAATTTTTCTCATACAGGATTTACTTTTAAATTAAGTTTCACTTTAAGTATAAACCATAAACACTTATATTACACATAAAACATAACTGAGATAAAAAAATTGATACGAAAATAATATTGCTAAAGTGATTGAGTCCTTAAATTCTCCCCATTCTAAGTGTTTCTTTGGATACTCATATCTATTTCAGATTATTCATGACATCAAAATTACTCATACCAAGAATCTTTGTTGACTAAGCAATAATATCAATTTTCCCATTAATTTTGTATTAAACGAATATTATGTTAGTGTTAGCAATGCAGGAAAGTGTTGCCTGTTCTACCAGGGAAGATAAACTCTTTGTGCCATTAGTAGCTAGTTGGATAGTTCTAGGTGATTATACTCTAAGCCAGACACACTTCCCAGGTATCTAGGTACTTTAATGTTCCATCCCCAACCTCGGCATGACACTCTCAATAGTCAAAGTGGTTAATTAGGAATCTTTGTTTTAAAAGGAGGTAGAAGTGCCCTGGTCAGGTAGAGCATCATCCTAATTTTCCAAGGTTGAGGCTTCGATTCCCAGTCAGGGAACATACAAAAATCAACCAATGACTGCATAAATATGTGGAATAACAAATCAATCTCTCTCTCTCTCTCTCTTTTCCTTCCTCTCTCTCTAAAAATCAGTAAATAAAAATAAAAGGAGGTAGAAGGTTGTAGGGAACAGGTAAGGTATAAGAAGGGTGTTCACTGATAATTATCAAATATCATAGAGAATCTTCTGACTGGTATTAGTTCTTCTTTTCTAAGAATCTTCTTTAGAAATCTTTTTTTTTTTTTTGGTACATGCCCCTAGTGGGAACCAAATACGGGACTCTCCAGTTCACAGGCCGACGCTCCAACTGCTGAGCCAAACCAGCCAGGGCTTCTTTAGAAATCTTGACTCTAATCAATAAAAGACATTGAATGTCAGATAGTATAATAAGATTTCAAATATATACTTTTTTATTTTATTTTGTAGGCTATATATCAAGTGATGCCATGAAGAAATTCCATGGGGAGCTACATGACTTTATTCCTGGAAGTTCAGGATATTTGGCATACCATGTTCAAAATGAAATTAATATGTCTACTATAAAAAATAAATTGAGGAGGAAATATTAAGTTAAATTGTCCTTATATCTGGGCATTTATTTTCTATAAAATATTATCAAAGATGTTCATGATTTAAAATTCTCCCATTTGGGACAGGTGTATGAGGAAATGGGGATGATTTCTTCTCTTTCTTCCTCAAAAATGTGTCTTTAGGAAATTCAGAATCTTTTTGGCTCTGTATTTTGCCATTTGGGCTGGACTTTTTCTCCAGCTTGTAATATATGCCCACAAATTCTAAGTGTACAGCTGCTATGGAGTAACTGTCATTGAAATATACTTCATAAGAAGTCTCTTTCTCTCTCTCTCAGATCCTCTTTGGCTTTAACATTCTAATATATATATATATCTGTCTATCTATCTTTTTTTTTTTCTAGGTTCAGTGAATGTGAATGTAAAATTTATGATTCTGGTCATGTTATAATTTCAATTAAAAAATTAGAATGCTATAGTTGAATTCTGAATTACTGTTTCTGACTTGAAAATATGAAGAAGAACATTTTAATAATTCAGATTTTATTTGTGGACAATTTCTGATAATGAATGTATCAGAAGTGATTTAATATAAACAAGTGTTATATCATCTAAAATAAACCCTCAAGATGTTTTAGAATCATAGTACTAGAAAGGAACTGAGAGAACATAGAGTCCAACCCATTTATTGTTTTTAATGAGGAAATGAAAGGCTTGAAAAATGTCTTGCCTAGGTGACTAACTAGGGGCTGAACCAGGACTAGAACACAATTCTCTTGCTTTTCCAGGCCATGTGGTATATGCTGTAGCCTCTGTCAGATATATTATGTCTTGAGATGTAGTAATGCAAGAAGGCAACTTCTTTTTTTTTTTTTTTAATCCTCATCCGAGGACATTTTTCCATTTTTTGTTCAGATTGAGTGGGAGGGAGGGAGGGAGGGAGGGAGGGAGAGAGAAAGAAAGAGAGAGAGAGAGAGAGAGAGAGAGAGAGAGAGGAGAGAGAGGGAGAGAGGGAGAGAGGGAGAGAGAGAGAGAGAAACATCAACGTGAAAGGGACACATCGAATGGTTGCCACCCGCACAACCCAACCAGGGCCGGGGATAAATTGCAACTGTGGTACATGCCCTTAGCGGGAACTGACCCCGAGTCTCTCTGGACCGCAGGCTGATGCTCTGACCGCTGAGCCAAACCGGCCAGGGCAAGAAGGCAACTTCTTTATTTAATTCACATGGTCATGCTGAATAGAATTTGGTGGGTTTATTACTCCCCCCCCCCCCCCATTTATCTTCAGATGGAGGGAGAGGGAGAGAAAAGGAGAGAAAGGGAGAGAGAGAAACATTGACGTGAGAGGGACACATCTACTGGTTGCCTCCTGCACGACCCCGAACAGGGTCAGGGATGAACCACAACCGAGGTACGTGCCCTTGGCCAAAATTGAAGCTGTGACTCATTGGTCCGTGGGCCGACACAATACACTAAGCCAAACCAGCCAGGGCAGGTTTATTACATTTTGGAGATTTATAAATAACATATTATTTGTGAAGCTATCATCTTGTTAAAACTATACTCTCTCCTAGGCAGTACATACTAATATAATTTTCTAAAGAAAATTCACTTTTTTTTTAGCATTTAGCATTTTTTTTTAGCATTTGAGTGTATGTGGGCTCTGGCCTTTCTTCCATGACTTTAATTATACAATTTTTTTTTTTTTTACCCTCATCTGAGGACATTTTTCTATTTTTTGTTCAGATAAAGTAGGAGGGAGAGAGAGAGAGAGAAACATCAACGTGAAAGGGACACATTGAGTGGCTGCCACCCACACAACCCAACCAGGGCAGGGGACAAACTGCAACCGAGGTACATGCCCCTAGTGGGAACAGAACCTGGGTCTCTCTGGGCCACAGGCCGATGCTCTAACCGCTGAGCCAAACTGGCCAGGGCTCATTATACAATATTTTAACACAAATCTCAACATCAGCATTTGAAAGTTCTATTTCTCCCATATAGTAACTTTTTTTTATCCTCACCCGAGGACATTTTTCGATATTTTGTTCAGATAGAGTGGGAGGGAGAGAGAGAGAGAAAAACATCGACGTGAAAGGTACACATCCAGTGGTTGCTACTTGTACAACCCAACCAGGTCTGGGGACAAACTTCCACCCAGGTACATGCCCTTAGCGGGAACTGAATGTGGGTCTCTCTGGACTGCAGGCTGACACTCTAACCGCTGAGCCAAACCAACGAAGGCTTAACTTTTCTTTATTTACATTTTATTTTTTGGTCTCTCTTCTGAACTTGTAAACTTTAAAAAAAAAACAACAACAAACACCTAAATGTTAATTACCTTTTCCTGAAACATAATAAATATTATCTTTCCTGAACACTTTAACTTAGTCACATTCTGCTGATTAGGTTTCTTATATAGAAACCAAGCCTGTCTGTGGATCTTTAATTATTAAAAGGATTAAATAAATATACACCAAGCTGCGTACATTGGGAGTGTTCAAGTATTTTTCCTACTTATGTACTATGTATATGTTAACATAATAAATAACAAACTACAGCCTGGCTGGTGTGGCTCAGTGGTTGAACATTGACGCATGCACCAAGAGGTCACTGGTTCAATTCCTGGTCAGGGCACATGCCCAGGTTGTGGGCCCAATCCCCAGGTTGGGGGCATGCAAGAGGTGGCCAATCGATGTTATTTCTCATCAATGTTTCTATCTCTTTCTCCCTCTCTCTTCCTCTCTCTCTAAAATCAATAAAGAAAAAAGTATTAAGAAAAAAAACAAAACAAAAGTGATTCCCAAACAATTGTTAGGTGCATACAGAAAAGGTGGATGCAATATATATCCTTGAAATACTGCTAGAAGCAATAAAACCAGTTGATAAACCTTTCAGGAACTGAAAGCATATGAATAAAATAGGCAAAGATAAACTGTTTTGTTGAAAGTCTATTGGCCTTTTTTTTTTTTTTTAGAGTTTGTTTATTAAAGCTGGGGACAGTGAAATAAAAGAAAAGCTTAGGATAGAAGAAGCAACAGGAGAGAATCTAGGCATGGCTGCTTTGGCTGTGTCACATGCTTTGGTCAATATGCAGAGTGGAAATGGCATCTGGGAATTTTTCTTAAAGACATCTGGTATGATGTATCCTTTCTCTCCCTTTCTTTCAACACCCATTTTTTTTTTCTTCTTTCATTCTGTTACTTGAAATGCAAATATGATAGGTACCATATGAACTATAAGAGTATGGCAGGATAGTAAGAAACTAGGAAAATTCCTGGGCAAGTTGAAGGGAAAATTGAACAAGGCCAAACAATTTGGGCAGCTTGCAGCCATCTTGTGAATTGCAAGACTTTACCCTCCCCAACCAAGGACACTTGATGGCAATACTTAACACCTCTCCTCCTTAACCAGAGAATACAGGAAAGGGGGGTGGGGGGAAAAGAGGGAGGGGGGAAGATGGAGAAGTTTTATCTTACCCACTGGATAAAGAAGTCAGCAATATGGAACTGGCAAAGATAAAATCACCAAATGTTCTCATAAATTCTGGTAAAAGCCACAACACAGTAAAAGGGAGACCTTGAAATCTAGTCTGTTGTCCAAGATATCTGGCAGAGGAGCCTTGAAACCTATAGATAGGAAAGTATAAAATCCCTAAACATCTGTCAGGCAGGGCACTCAGACTAGCTGGGTGCCTGCTTGTGCTATATGCCAAGTGTAATTTTAATAATTTGCTTGTCTTGCTCCCTTAATAAATTCACTTGCTTTGTTTCAACACTGCTGTCTGTCACTCATTTTAAATCTTTCTTAGGAGACTGACAAGAACTGGGAAGGGGACAGCCCCCCACCCCATCCTTCTCAGAGGGTTGTTACTAACAAGAGCATGCCCTAGAGTTGGCAAAGCAGGAGACTGAAAGGATCCTTGGGTCCTGAGGGCATTGTAGAGATATATGCCATCCTAGCCCTGGGTCACCTAACTCTAGAATTTTATGTGACAGAGAAATAAACTGTTTTGTTTAAGGCACTATATTCTGTGTCTCTTACTTCCCAACTAATCATAACTGAGGCTTTGATGATGACCAGGCTGCCGACCTTGTTCTATGGGAGAGAATTGCATGAAAGATACTAGTTCTTTATGTCTGTAAAGTATTGACTAAAAATAACCTTAATATGTTTATTAATAATGCATGGCACCTTAAATCATATTGCATCAATTTAATGAAATAGCCATTTTTGTCTTTTAAACAGCTTCATTATGATGTAACCACACTCACACATATAGGTATGGTTTAATGATTTTTAGACAGAGTTGTACAACCATCACCATGATCATCTGATTTGGAATATTTTCATTACCCTAAAAACACACCCCTTGCCCATTAGCAGTCATTGCCCATGCCCTTCTCCCATACTCACTCCCCCAGCCATAGGCAACCACTAATCTACTTGCTGTCTGTATAGATTTGTCCTTTCTAGTAATTTTATTTATTTATTTATTTATTTATTTATTTATTTATTTATTTAATTTCTGTTAATTCTCACCTAAGAATATTTTTTTCCATTTTTTTTTTTTTAAGAGAGAATGGAAAGGAAGGAGGAAAGAGGGTGAAATAGAAAGAGAAGAGAGAGAGAAAGAGAGGAAGAGAGAGAAGCATTGATGTGAGAGAGACACATCCATTGCTTGCCTCTCGAACATGCTCTGACTGGGGCCAGGATGTAACCTGAAACCCAGGTATGTGCCCTTAACTGGGAGTCAAACCCCAAACCCTTTGGTGTATGGGCAGATGCTCTAACCACTGAACCGTGCCAGCCAAGGTCCATTCTAGACATTTTATATTAACAAAATCATATAAAACCTACTTTTTTGTGACAGGCTTATGTCACTTAGCATAATGTATTCAGAGTTCATCCATATTATAGTGTGCATGAGTACTTCCTTCCTTTTCATTGCCAAGTAGTATTCCATTGTATGAATATGCCACATTTAAATTTTTTTATTAGATTTATTGGAGTGACATTGGTTAATAAGATTATAT